TTGAAGTAAAAGATTATTTTTGTGCTTACTTTAATGACCAGTATTTGTGAATATAAATACTTTGAAATCAAGTTTAATGAATATTAACCACAAAAGTCTTGTAGGTCTGCAGGACATTATACCATTTAAGGGAAGGTATACGCTTGAAGACCAAAAAAAGATATATAGAGAGATATATTTATATATAGAGAGATATATATTCAGGAGAATATTTGCAGAAAGTCTACCCTCTCTCTCTTTTTTTTCTGTGTTACTGGACAGAAAAAGATGTCTGGGACAGAGCTATGCAGTACTGCCTGGTGCATAAAGCATTGCAGGTTCTTTTATCCATTAAAATCTTCACTGTGCTGAACTATTTCAGGATTGTGTCTTGTCTTAAATGTTTCCTTTAGGTTTGATCCTGCTGTAATTTCTTGGTAATGAGTGACACAAATTTTTATTAAATCTGAACATATATATTGACTTGTTTGTTGCTTTGCCTTAGGTTACAAGAAAGCATAGCACAGCATTGCCTTAAAACATGACATACCAAAGCGATTGGCTTCTCACAGGAATAGGAGGAATTGCTCCTATATATTTATATATATATGAGGAGTTATGTGATAGTTACCAAATAACAACTTTTACTGGCGCTGGAAGTTGCACGAAGATGAATGAGCTTTCTGGCTTTTAGGTAATCATGCAGTCCAGTATCACTCCACCTTTTAATGTAATCAATCAGAATTATTAGGCTATATCTAGATAAAGGAGAAGTTCCTTGCAGGAAAAAAACATTAATATAGAGATGCCTTCAGTCTGTAGTTGTATTAAATTTTGAAAATTATCTCAATTTTGGGAGGGTAAAGGAGGCAGAAGGGAAACTTGGATTTGAATCCAGCATGTGTTTTGTTTCCATGCAAGGATATTTTCATTTATTTATTCGCTCGACTTCGTGGGAAAGGGAGGGCTGAACAGTGCCTGTATCTTCTAAGAGTATTGTATTTTGATTATAGGGCAAGTACCATCGCTTTGTGATGACGACTGTTGACAAACTATTCCACACCTGTTAATTAGGGGAGTTGCAAGGAAGGAGGAATTTGGGTGTTTGCTATCATGAGGGCAGCACGAGTGTTTCAGTGTGTGTTTGCCCCAGCCCTCTGCGGATGCGGTGGCTTGGAAGCTTGGGGCTGGCACCCAACTATCCATGCTGGCACGCCACAGTACCTACATGTGTCTCTCTCACTTGCCTTGAGGAGACGGGATAAATGAAATGCTGCTAAAACCCCTCGGACAGCGAGGAGGAGGAAAGTCCTCCTGCATCTCGATGGCTGGCTGATTTGTGCACGACTGCTTCTAACTCACATTACATACATTTCTATTGCTGTATTTCCCTTGCTTCTAGTAAGGCACCCAAACGCTTTAACAGGAACAAAACATCAGGGGAATTATTAGGTATTTTTAATTATTCTATATCAACCTGATAATATCTGCCTACACTGCAGCACTTCTCTGCTTGGGGATCAATCCTCCGAGAAACTTTACTTTGAGGTCCCTGAAGCAGTCTTATGTAGAAAAAAGTGTGTGTGCTTTAGAGGAATTTAAATATGCTTTAGGAACTAAACTCATTTTCTAATGACTTAATGTTTACTCTAAATAACATAGATTTTGGAAATCCCAAGGCTTTCTCCAGAATCCTGTGTCTTAGTGTTTTCTTGTCAACAGAGAAACATTGAACAAACATCATGTTTTCTGCCTATGGCAAAAGAAATCAGATTAAGTATGTAATCCTGAAGGCATCTGCTAAGATCTGCCCTATGGGTCTGGTAGGTTCACAATTAGAAGATGCAGCAGAAGTTCAGCTTTTAGAACGGTTTGGCAACCCTATTGCAAGTGTAGCTTATGCTGTACTACAGGAAAAAATGCTATGTTCCTCCTCTCATTGCTACCAAGAAAGCCTAGATAGATATGAGAACAGAAATGCTAGGAAACTGGGGGAAAAAATGCTTATTAAAACATTGGTTCTTTGGACCGCAGGAATTACTGTGTATAATGTGTGCTTGTTTGTGTTTGTTTGTGTATGATAGAATTCAGTGGACTTTGAGAAGTTATCTGTCTTTTCTCTTGCTTATGTTAGGATCCATTTTATCTTGTGTAATTCCTGGCAGAATTTCTCCTTTTTTTTTCCCTCTTTTTCCTCCTTTTTTTTTTTTTTTTAATAATGCTTTCTTCTTAATAATTCCAGTGATAAGATTCTGCAAGATTCTTAGGCAGATCTACTCAAGTTTCCATATCAGGAATTTTGTTAATAGATTTATTTTCTAAAAAAAAGTTGCTGATGTTATTACTTTTTCATCCATGAAAGAAGAAAAAAAAGGATTCTTCCACTGTTTCATGCACTTTTTTATGCATTTGAAAGCTGTTAACATCAGTCTTTTAGTCTTTGTTTCTTTGCATTAAAGATTCCCAGTTTCTACATTCTTTTCTCAAAGGCATAGCTTCTTTATAGTTAAGTGCTGTTCTTTCTCTTCCTTGGATGCCCTAGAAATCTTCAAGACTTTCCTGAAGCATAGTGCCCACAAATAGCACATAACCTGTTGCTTTCCATTCTGCACTTGTGCAGCCAGGTTTTTGTGTCTAAAAGTAGAACGTTGCATTTGCCCTTAGTACTCCAGTAATACTGTCATGGAAGTATGGTGGGCATATGTCTAACCCTCCCGCCCCCCCCCTTTTTTGAGATTTGCATATGCATCTGGTTTAAAGTCTGCATTCACATTTTAGATGTAAAAGGTATGTCCCACAAAATATAAATTGGAATATTGTAAAATAAATTCCAGCTTGAGCTAGAGTCTGGTCTTGGAATTTCAGCAGTAGTATTACTCCTTTAGACCCATCTATGATGTCAATTATATAAGACACATAACTGAACCAAGTTGGAGTTCCCCGAGTTTGGAGGTGAGACTGTGTTCTAGCGCATTTAGGGCATAGGTTCTGACTAGCAACATTTAGAATATATATGTATATATATAGAAAATATATATGTGTGTGTATATATGTATGTATATGTAAGTATACACACACACACAAACACCTATGTGTATGTATGTATATATACGTGTATATATACACACACACACATATATATATATATAAGGCTGTTTACGAGTGCAAGAGCCTGTCCTAATATGAGGCATGGATAGACAGATTACTGATTGCTGGTATGACCCTTGTAGGAGAAATCAACGCACTTAGTAACAGTGTTCAATTTGTTTTGTGTATATGAAAGCAGACTTATTAATGTCACAACAAGCTGCCAGTGAAGTATAGAGCCCAAGGCTTCTTTTAAGAAGAGTAAGTATTTCTCGAGGCAAATGATTAATTTTCATGCTTGTTCTTCCATCTTTAACAATTACTTTTGCATTTCTGTTGCAGAACACATTTTCAAGATCCTCTTTTAAAGGAACCTTTGTATTGAAGAAAGCAAAATAAGTAGTGCTCTTTTGGAAATCAAGTCATAAGTAGGAGGCATTGCATTTAAGATAGGTGAAAAACCCAGCCACGTGGGAGGCCCTTGGAGCTTTATGGCAGGATGAGGTTCCATGTGACTTGGGTGTTTCAGCCAAGGAGTTAGTGCATTTCAATATCCCCTTTTCCAACCCGACTCCCAAGTACCACTCTGGAGGAGTGTGCATCTGACCTACGGTCCTATCTGTGGCATGGCAGCTCAGTGCAAACATCTTGGATATCCTTGGGCATCTAAAATGGCACTGGGCATCTCTCATAAGACAGCTGGAGCCTGTTTTGGCATAGAGGCGATGACGTGACCCTCACTTTCTGTGGTTATTTTTTATTCCCTCTCTGTGCTTTGGTACAGAGCGTAGTCCCAACAGGTACCTCTGAAGTGCCATGTAGCTCTGAGGCGGCCGTGCGCTGCGCAGATGCAGAGCAGCAGTCCTGTCAGTCAGCGCCACCTCTATCAGCCCGGCCCGCCCGTGACATTAGCCTCCTCCGCCCCGAAACGGGTAAACTGGGTGATGGCGGTTCCCAGGCCCGGCTGGGACAAGTATCAGGGTGGGGCTTGGTGAAGGTCCCTGCCCGCAGGCTGGTGCTGATGGTGCCGAGCGGCCCCGCTCCGGCCTCAGCAGCTCCGGACCCTGCAGGGGCCAGGCAGCCAGCCCACAAAACAAAACAAAACAAAAAGTGGTTTCGGCTGGATCAGTGAGCTCATCTTGCTGACCGTGTGGGGCACGGTTGCCCTCGGCACAGGGTGGCGATGGCATGAGT